TGTCACCCAGGAAACACTGAGACATTTGCTTTTTTTGCCTCCATTTTCAGAAGCATGTAAAAAGTGACCTGCTTTAAAATTATTTTAATTACAAACTTGACAGAAAGCCAGCATTTTTGTGAGAAGTGTTTTTAAATAAACAAATCCCTGCAATTCAAATAAGTGTGATCTTTCCATTCCGAAAGGGCAAAATGCACCGGCGTCGCTTTTTCTGCACCTCACCTGAGAATAATACTAATATGTGCGAGAGTGATTCTGGGGATAAAATAAAAGAAGCCATTATCTGCATTCTGTTATATTATCTGTTATACAGCGGATCTGCCTATGCGAGTGAATGGTCACAGAGGGTATGCGAGGGACTGTTTGTGCTTTTTAATCAAGTGTACGAGCGTTTTCTTGTGTTATCGTTTCTGTAGTCCTATCTCTCATGACTGTGTTGTTTATTTTCTTCTTTTCTTCAGGATAATTATGCAAAAAAATGTGAGGTACAAATATGAAAATGCTTTTCAGCTTCTTCCGTCACCTACAAAATTCCTCTTTTTGGAAGCCACACACATTCCTTTCACATTCGTTATAGACTGCACAAACTGGTTTATCTTCGCCCTCAATGTTTATACACTCATTGCTAATGCGATTTACCTTTTCTTAATGCAGCGTTCTCATCAGAACTGTGTGGAAACGTAATAATTTTGGACCTTGTGAAATTCCAGAGCTACTACTGCAAGCATAAAGAAGGCCGTTATTCTGAACATTTCTGCTAACAACAGATTCTGGATTCCTGTTACAGATTCTTTTGGACGTAATGTATTGTCACCCAGTATTGATGTGTTTGCCGTATCTTGCTTTAACTGTCACTGAATGCTGCCTGGTTAATACAGAAAGTACTGGTTTCTCGCCAACATTTATTTAGGCGGTACGAAAGTGCCAAAGAGAAGCAAGATATACAAATACACATTAAAGGTAATTAGAGTCATTACATAGAAGCTAATGGAAGCTAATCTTAGAGAAGAACCCCTTATTTCCACACATTTATCTGAAAATAGATATTTTCTATATATTCTTGGTGGCTGCGGTATATGCACTGTTGTATAAAGGCACTTTGAGGATGATTTTGATAATTGCCTCTCCAATGTTCTGCTAAAAGCAGTTTTTTGTTTTGTTTTTGGCACCCGACAAGGATGCACTAATAAATTGAAAAGTTTTTTCTGCTTTTTTGAAAAGATTTGCATACAGATGACAACCTTGTGAAAATGATCCCCATTCACATGTATCCATGAAAATTACAACACATGCTGTATTATGCATGCCAGGCAAGTAGTTGGCGAAGTCACTTTGTAAAGAAACAGTACTCATCTGTGCAGTCTGAACTGGTGTATATGCATGTGCATGTACTCACTGTTTTCACAAATGTGCACTTTTGTAGTTTACACATGAGATGATAATGGTATTGTTTTAAAAAACATCCATTTTAACC